GAATCCTGGCTGGCCACTCAAACATAAAATATGGGATTACTTTTCAATCAATTTGTACACTACTATTAGAAGCGCTCATCAATATTGGAAAGAACGATAACAGTTACTGGTCATGAGAAACGTATTTTCCTGAATAATTGTTTTAAGGGAAATATTTTTATAAATTTCAACTGGAAGTAGTACTGCCTGCTCAGTCAATGAATGTTTCCTTATAAAGAAACATCTCATATCATTGCGACCATTAATATTGCCAGAGAATACGGAATGAATTTGTATCAAAACCCATCAGCTGTCATCAGGAGAGATGCGAAAAAATGATGTTTGACACAAAATCTCGAATAAATAACTTATTAGTAAAAATCATGACAGAAATTATGGTCTTTGATAAATGAACATAAAATGGTGTTTAGATGGGGAACCGACATCATTTTGTATGCCGTGTTCTTTTAGGATTTGGGCGACCATAGCTCTCCATACTTCCTCCTCCTTGTACCTCTAATTAACGTTTCAGATTTTACTTTTTGCCTAAGGTAGGTTCCATGCTTGTTTCCCTCTACGCACTAGTCGACAAATGCCTCATGTAAGTATTACATTTTTTAAACTGTCTTTCCTCATAATGTGTCCCAGAAATTTCAACTGCCTTTTTCTGATTTTTAAATATGAGTTTGCTTAGGATTAGAACAGAGGATGTCGAAATTTCTGGGACACATTAGAAAGACGGTTTGGAAAATTCAATACACACAGGATAATGTTATTGGTCTTGACCCGACATCTTGGCTTTAGTCACTTCCCCATCACCGTAACGTAGCTTCCCTGTACTTTTTTTGTAAATATTTTCATGGTAATTTTCCGGATGAACATTTTTCTATGGTAGCTAGATCTTATGAATTTAAGCGGAGTACTATATTGGTGTCGAGATCTCAGCATTTTACAGTTGACATTCCTAGACGTAGCCGTAAGTTCTATGCTAACAGTTTCTTCTATTGCACTTCTCACTTGTGGAACTCTCTTCTGGCTTCTTGCTTCCTAATCAACTTTGAGTTTCAAAAAATCAAATGAAATGTGAATTGTTTTCATCTGTCTTCTTAATTCCTGTACTTTTATTGTTCTCTTTCCTTAATATTTTTTTTATTTTTCAAATTCTCTAACACACAGTAACCCCTTGAATTGTGTCTTAGTGGCTTTATTGCCTTGCTTGGGGTGAAATGATTAAAAATGGACAGTCTGTGGAACTCTCTTCCGGATTCCTACTTTCCATATAACTTTGCTTTTCAAAAATTTAAATGCAACAATGTCAATCGTTAGCTTCTGTCTTCTTAATTCCTGTTCTGTTATTGTTCTCTCTCCTGAATAATGGTTCCTTTTTTTCATATCCCTTAACTCATTCAACCCTTGTGTCTTAGTGGCTTTAATCTCTTGCGTGTGTGAAAGGATTAAAAAAAAGAAATATTGAAAGACGAAGGGGCGATAGGAAGCTGTGAGTTACATACCTAAGAGTATTTATAAATGGATGGTAGAGCCTGAACAGAAAGGGAGAGTAAGGAGTCAAACATTGCAAACAATCAAGGAGAGTAAGGAGTCAAACATTGCAAACAATCAAGGAGAGTTATGGTCACCCATCTCCTGGAGAGATCACAGCACATAAATGAAGAATATACTTTTCCACTTCTCATTTTTTTAAAAAAATATCCTCGTTGTACAAATATTCGTTTGATTTTCAGCATTTATTTGTAGAAAGTCATTTCTGTTACTCCGAGTAATTTCCTTCATTTATAAAGAAATTGTTCACTATTCACTTCCATTTGCACAGCTGATCAGTACTCTTTTCGTTGTTTCGGACGAAATTTTCCTATTGCTTAATACTTTCCTGAGTGTGCTAACTTTTTGAGTCTCGTGTAAATTGTACCTGTGTCTACCTGTCTGAGTCTCGTGTAAACCGTACCATTGTGTAGCTTTTTGTGTCTAGTGTAAACCGTGACTTTTTCTAACTTTTCGAATCTAGTGTAAACCCTGCGGGGATCTTTTTCATTCTAGTAGAAACTATACCTGCTACTACTTTTTGAATTGAGGCTTGTAGCGGGGCCCCGAGCGCCCCAGTATCACACAAGGGTGAATGAGGTCACAAGAGGCCCGCTAACATTTTTGAAGACGTTAAATCTGACGGTGAAACAATATCGACGACAGAACGAGGATATATATGATATATGCTAATTTATTCTAGAAAAAGAAACAAAAGTGGTCGGAAGGTAGAGACGCAGAAATTCTAGTGCAGGCATTGATGGTCGAGGTTGGTGTGTTGGCAGGATCATCGCTGTTGATTGTTGCAGTTGATGTTGGTTATTGCCAGGATGATGTTGGTTGTTGAAGTTGATTGTTGGCCGGGATGATCTCTATTGGTTGTTGCAGTTGAAGCTGATGTAGGTTGTTGCCAGGATCATCACAGTGGATTGTTGCAATTGATGTTGGTTGTTGGCAGGATCATCGCTGTTGGTTGTTGAAGTTGATCGTTGCCGGGATGCCAACTGCTGGTTGTTTGTCGTTGCCGGAGTTGCCAACTTGACGTGTTGGGAAGGAAATAAGAGCTGGCGTTGTTCGGGCATGTCACAGGTCCAGTGCAGGCGTTGCGTGTTTGCCGGTCGAGTCCGATATTAGTAACCTCCCGTATTAATTACTAACATAGTGTACGGGAAAAGTTAAGGACGACGTGCGAGCAGCCAGTAGGGACGGAATGTCGAGAGTTGAACAGAAGCCAGGAAGTAGTAGGCGAAGGAGAGAGAGAAAGAAAAGTTTCCAACTATCGTCAAGTTGGCAGACAAAAAAAAAAATGGGAGCCTAACTTAATACACAGCCCGGTGATCGACGATCCTGGCCAACAAAGGCCAGGGGCCTGCGTATCCGACCGTTTCAGTCGCCCCATGTCTTGTGGTAAGGGAGACCAGCAAGTGAATTGGATAAGCTAACAGTAAAGTCTCTATAATAAAATACGTCGAGGTTAGCTAAAGGGAACTATGGCCTAAAATGTCTAGCAGTATATTACAACTAGGTTTGTAATATAACTTAACTAAAAAGGGAACTTGCTAGTCTCTACCACAGGTTAACAGTGTATAGGGAGCACAAACGAGAGGTCAAGGTCGAAATGACCTGTTCTCTTAATTTAAGGAGCGAAAGGAGGAGGTAACTCCGACAGGCTAAACTGTACTTATATGTATCTACCCCTTTTAGTCTAGTGTACACCGTACCTCTGCCTACCTTATTGAGTCTACTTTGAACTGTACCTATGTTTACTTTTTTGAGTCTATTTTGAACTGTATCTCTGCCTACATTTTTGAGTCTACTTTGAACTGTACCTCTGTCTACCTTTTGGAGTCTATTTTGAACTGTACATCTGCCTACCTTTTGGAGTTTACTTTGAACTGTACCTCTGTCTACCTTATTGAGTCTATTTTGAACTGTACCTTTGTCTACCTTTTTGATAATTTATTATTTATTTATTTATAAATACAGAAAGAGAAAAGGTGGCACAGGTAGCCTGGCTTCACGGCTAGTTTTCAACAGCAGCGAAAAGAGAAAGTGGCAAAGACGGTAAGCGTGACAGCAAGAACCGTAAAAGAGAGGTCACAAGAGGCAGTCGATGAAACCAAGTTAGCGGTTCAGGATTTAATTGGCTGTAAAAAGATGGCTCAAGATAGCCGCAGAAGAGAAGCCACAAGAGGCAGTCAATGAAACCAAGTTAGAGGTTCAGTATTTAATTGGCTGTACAAAGATAGCTCTGAAAGTAATATTTCTTTTCGTCGGTGAAAAAATATTTCTCTTCGATAGTAAAAAACAATTAAATGTATTCTTTTAGCAAAATTAATTAAAGAAATAAATAGGAAAGGTTATTGACGTAAATGTATTAAAGTGAAAATAAAAAATAGGTAAATGAACAATTCGAAATGATTCTCCACAACCCTGGCAATAAATTTAACTTCGGTTAATTCAATGATTCGCGATTGTAGCAACTGTTTTAAAAAAAAAAAAAAAAAATAAATTGTATAGTTACATTGGCTGGAAATTAATCTATTCATTCTATACTGACAATTATTATATCACCCCACACACATATATATATATATATATATATATATATATATATATATATATATATATAGTTTATGCAAATTTAGGTAATCCGTATGGGTAGACCTGGAGGAGGATGATATCCAGAGAGCTCAATGTAAAATTCAGAGCAGATATGTTTGAATAAAAAACAGACCACGTTAAGATTCCATGTAATAAGCTATTTCACCATAACCCCTTTAACAGGGTTCTGGATCATCAGACTTTACTTCCAAAAGCTGAAATGAAAATGAAAAGAAATTCACACGTTTTTGACGGACCTCATCAAGTATACGCAAAGTTAACGAAGTGAGGAAGTGAGGTGGGAGAGAGGATATGAGTGTGTCATATGTATCATTTTAGTTTCCTATTTTAACCCCAGTGTGTCGGCTGGATGTTGTTCAAATTTAACGCGTCTCGTCTCTAGATAAAGGTGGTTAAGGGGTGAGCGATAAGGACTACATTAAAGGAAGACGTTACAACAACCCCAATAAATTACACGACAGGTTTCATTCAAATTCTTAGACGATATATATATATATATATATATGTGTGTGTGGGGGGGTGTATCAAAAATACGTTTACGAACTTCCGGGGCTGGTTCCTCACACTAAAACAAAGAAAAAAGTCAATGTAAAAACATATCTCCAAATCCTTCACTTTTTTGTTATTAAGATTTGAAAAGGTTTATTTAGATGACAGTTCATTTGTTTATGGTATGAGGAAGCCGCCTCCAAAGTTTGTTAAAGTATTTTGATAAATCATATATATATATATATATATATATATATATATATATATATATATATATATATGGACAGTCTCTCCCTCTTTTCTCCCTCCATAATATATATATATATATATATATATATATAGATATATATATAGATATAGAGATAGACATAGATAGATAGATAGATAGATAGATAGATAGATAGATAGATAGATATCGATAGTGTGAGATCGATATTGCACAGACTGAGATAGAGCTTAAGGATATATCCCTTTGAGAAAACGCTTCTCGCTGGATCACAGAAGTTAAGCAACGTTGAGTCTCTTCAGTAATTATATAGGCGACCGCTTTGGAATACCAGGTTCTGTAAGCTCTGGTTATTCGGCTAGTTTAATGTCTCGGAATTGGAAATCGGAAAGCCGACATCCATTTCCAGTCTGGTTCTTTATATTAGCTTACGCGCAAATGTCCTTGGCAGGGAGGGGGTGAGTATGAATCCATCTCATCTCACCACAACTATGGGTGAATAAGTAGGACTTTTATCAGTTAATCATTTTTATCTTCAAAAAAGTATTACGATCTATACAAAAATTTCTGGTTTGAAATAACCTGCGAAAGTTCGATAAGTCGAAAAATTCCAAACCAATGAATGAGTGTTATATGGGAATAAAGTGTCGCTGCCGACACTTGAATTTGAACGTAGATTGCCAGTGAGCAAACACAAGAGATCCCATTATTGAATTAAGTGGATCACGTAACCATTAGGGAAACGCATAAATAGAAATTAGTGTGACGTCTAAACGATCGCCATTTCTATTCTATCCTACACGGATCGCTATTCTCTATACTATTTACTATACTATTTCTCTATACTGAAATCTATACGGATTACTATTCGGTGGTTACTGTTTCAAGCGAGTATTATCCAGCAAGTATTATTAGTGCGAGTGTTATTCGAAGGCGTCTGACACCAGTATTGTTCAACGGCGTTACTATAGTTGTATCTGCGATTACAAAGTCTCTACTAAACGAAGATTACGAAAGTGACAAGGAGTATTCGTTGACAACACAAAAGTGAGATAGATAGATAGATAGATAGATAGATAGATATGGAAAGCCTGAGATGTTAACACAGTGAAATAGGCAGACAGAGAAATAGTGTTGCATATGAACTAAATGAAATAGATAGCTATTAGCAGATTGAGATAGATAGAGGAAATCGCTTTCTATGCATATTGATATATATATATATATATATATATATATATATATATATATATATATGAATTTAGACACATATTCGCATACATATACATCAATATATCACAAATAACCAAGGCTAATATTAACATAAGACACATTTTACTAGATGACACAAAAGTATTATATCGTAGCTTAAAAGCCGCACTACATGTGGACTTTTAAGCTAGCTCCCGTGGAGGACTATTTGGACTTCCGGTCCGAAATTAAGGGGCCTCTGGTCCAGCTTAGAAAACATCTATGATAATTTTGAAGAATTCCTCAATTCACTCAATGGAACGAGAGAAAACTGGAATTCATCATCACCATCATCATCATCCTTCGAACTCCCTATGGTTGGTAGGAACTCCATTGACAAACCTTTTCCACACTGTTCTGTCCTGCATTGCTGTCCCCACATCCCCGAGCTATGGTGTCTGCAAAAGTCAATTTTCATGATATGACACTTCCAGATGGATGCCATAGATGTAAGGATGGCACAATTTCCCTGTCATCTCGGTGGCAGTTACCGGCAAATTGTAATCGTTTTCGTTTGAGTTTAAGAAAGATTGGTGTCAGTTCTACATAAATTATGTTAAGCATTGCATGGGATCTCCAATTTATCTTCTGGATTTTTTCTAAGTAGATTTGTATATGTTCCATCCAGTCGTCTTTCAAGACGAACAGATAATGTCCAAGTATCTGAACCATAGAGTAGGCCTGGTTCAATCAGTGTTCGAAATGTGTAGAATTTTAAAGAGGATGAAAGTGCCAAATAATGTGAAGTTACACGCATCCCATGCAAGAGCTTTGCGGATATTGAAGTCTTTTTGGGAATCTATTATGTGAATTCCAAGACATTTGAAGTCTTCAACACTTCTGAAGTGTATTATTGAGTGATCTCAACTCGGATGTTTCAGGGGAGGTTATGATATATTCTTACGGAGCTATGTGACTCGTTGCTTGCTCATGTGATGGTGCTGTCATTAGCCAAACACAGTAGCATAAACAGACCCCCACCAAAAAAAAAAAAAATCTGTGAAGACAGTCCAAAATACTCTGATAAAAAAGGAACAACACACAGAACAGAACTAAAGCAAAAATAAACTTTGGAATGTTTATCAGTTGCAAAACAACTTTGTAGGAATTTGGAAAAACTTGATAAAAATGGTTGGGAAGACAAACCTTGCAGTTATTCTACAACAAAACATGTCTGGAAGAATTCTTGCTGCCGAGTTACGCTGTATATATATATATATATATATGTATATATATATATATATATATATGTGTGTGTGTGTGTGTGTGTGTGTGTGTGTGTGTGTGTGTGTGTGTGTGTGTGTGTGTGTGTGTGTGTGTGTGTGTGTGTGAAAATATATAGAAAATAGGAAAGAACTCGTTAGGTAAATAATCCAAAGTTCTTTAGTATTTTTGTTATTATTTAAAAAAAAAAACAGTGCTCAATACAAAAGTAGAGGCAAAATATAATTATTTATTTAAAAATATGATTCCATCGCTACATTTTCAGAATCGGTTGTGCGGCTTTGATGCAATTTCTCAACCAATCAACAATACTGAATATGCATGCATGAGCAGGCATTCTTCAATGGAGATACTCATTTGACAGAGATATCTCATGGAGTTAACATTGTGATCGTTACGTCCACAGTGATTGGGCCCCTTTAGCTTCTTCAGGTTTCCGGCAGGGATCTTTTGGCATCGTATCGCTCAGATCTTTTCGTTCCTTGCAGTTTCAATTTAGATCGATCGACTTCTGACTTCCAGATGCTAAAATTATCGTGGAGACCCAGTAGAAAAGGTCGCTGAAACACAGTTGTGACGAATCCAAAAATGTCTTTGCAGTCTTCAGAAAAATGAAAGGGACACTGAGTGAAATGTCTTATCTCTCATGAGTAGCACATTGACGGCATTAAGGTGCTATTGTTCTAAATGTATTTCGTTAAAATTGGCGCATATGCTACGCTATGATGGTCTCCTCACTAGGCCAGGTATAGAAATAAGTACCATTTTCTTTTGCCATTTTGCATTTCTACTAATTCTAGTTAGCTCTCTTAAAGTGGGACGCTTTTTTTGTAAAAGATTCCATAGCTGTAACAGATAAATTTAAAATTTTAAATAATAAGAGCGTTCACGCGTGTATTTTTAAAATCGCAATCACAACGAAAAGCAGATTTTATCACATTTGCAATAAGTTTGTCATTGTAATTTACCCCTGAGGATGATCGCGGAGGTGATCGAAAGTACTTGGGTAGGAAAAAACTACGGCACCTTCCTGGATGAATTTTATCTTAACGTCAAAAAACTATCAAGTGGAAAGGATTATAAAAATAAAGAGATATAATATGTCTAGATTAACCTATGAGATCTGTTTGAATGGAGATACACTGCCTATATATATATATATATATATATATATATATATATATATATATATATATATATATATAAATATATGGATATAGATCCGACAGTATGAAGAAAAATATATCCAAACATCAATCCGAGTATCAATCTCGCCAGAAAAGGGGAAATACTAAAGAAGCACTGTGAATACTAGACCTGGCGACAAGCGTGCATATAAATTTTAGATCAAAATAGAATTCTTTTCATTTTTCATTCAAAATACTCAAATTTTAGGAATACGTTTTCACAGCGTCGCCCACGTGACGCCAACGTGACCATGTTTTAAACGGAGCGCTGATCTTATAAAACTTTCAGTTATTTGTTGGGATAAGTCTTGTTCTTATGTACATCGTCTTTGTCATGTTGTATTGATAATGTTATATTTATGAATATGTCCTGAAGATGGTTTATTAGACCGAAACGTCCGACGTTGACCTATTAACATTAAAACAGCATAATTGCATATAAGGATTTTTGTTTGTTTTTGCCGTAGCGGCTTGGATTGAGGAATCGCAGAGCCGAGTTCGAATTCCAGTCGAATTCATTACATTCACTTATGTGCTAATCCCCTTGGGAAAGTTATGAATCCTCTTCTTCTCCCCACAGCTATGGGTAAATAGCAGGATAGACCGGGTTCTATAGCCTTGGATGGCAACTGGTCTAGGAGAAGGACAACTCTGAATTCAAAACCTGCGGAGGGTCGTTTGGGGACCTTGTGGCACTCAGTGCACCAGGTCTCTGTATTCGTCCATTCAAAAAGTGTGGATGGTCCTGCACGAGGCCTTCACCACTGTAATCAAATCTCATGTGCCGGTGTCAGGTTGTCGGTTTCCTGGAAACTGATCTGCTTGACCCTCATACGTCGAATCTCGACGGGAGAGTCGATCATATGATTGAATTATATGGGTATATTGTGTTTTATGTTTATTTTATAGTGATCCTTTTCCGGTTTCTTGATGTTAAGATGAAATTCATCAAGAAAGGCGCCTTAACAAAACTGTAGTAGTAGTAATAGGCGTTGTGACGAAAGAAATGACTTAGATCGGAGATCGAAACGAGCACGGACCTGTCTTGCGTGCAAAGTGTTGAAAAGAAAACATGACCGCTCTTGGGGTCGCAATTTATAAATGCTTGTCTCGTCTCTACGAGACGGGATTTGCACATGTGCAAATTCTGGCCTGCTTGAGGGGGCATAAAAAGTGAGGTGCTAAGAGCGAGGGCCAATATTTGTTTCTTTTTTGGGTTGATTACATTTGCTGGCCTGACCAGTGGAGTGAGAGTAAAAAAAAAAAGAAGGTGAAAGAGACACGACTGACTTTGTCAACTGAAAAATGTCCAGTGTGACGGCGAAGAAATTGAGCTCCGGAATCTATTTCCTTTAAACGAGTGAGGAAGAAGAAGAGTCAGTCTGCAGACGAACGAACATTTTTTTTTACCCGACTCATTTATTTTTTCTACAAAAACAATTAAAAATCGACGCCAAAGAACTAAGTACCCTTATTCATATAAGTATAAAAAAACGTATGAAAACAATACTTTTTTTATTAAATAAATTCGATTATAATAGCAGCAAACCTTCAATGCCATTTTGAAATTCTACCAATTTCCGGTCAGCTCCCTTATATTGGGACGATTGTTTTGCAATAGATTCCAGAGCTACAACGTTTACATTTAAAATTTTAAAATAATTTTAACAGAGCACGTTCATGCGTGTTTTTAAAAAATCACTATCACACCGAAATGCATATTTCATCAGAGTTACAATAAGATTCCCTTAGTAGTTCACCTCTGAGGATGATCTTAGGGAAGATCGAAAGAACTTAAAAAGGAAAAAACGACGACGCCTTCCTTGATGAATTTCATCTTAAAATCAAGAAACTAATTAGAAGACTGGAAAGGATTATTATAAAAATAAATAGACATAATATGTCTATATTATTCATTGAAACATGTTTGAATGAAGATATGCTGCTTAAATATACATACACACAGATATTATAATTATTATTGCTTCAGACGTTATTATAGCTGTCACTTGTATTTTAAATAAATACACCATTTTTATTTTAAATAGTAAGCATCACTTCTATCGACATGCGCGTTCGAGAATTCTTAATAAAAAATGTCATCACATTTTCTTTATTCATATTTCTCGAAAGCGTCGGCCGTTGAACGTATTACACACTGTTTAAAAGAAAAAATGGGACGTCTATTTCAAATACGGGTATCCACTGTAACAATATTTGAAGTAATGCACATGAATGCACGTGCACACATATATTGAGATAATAATGGCCGGCTATATCTTTCTGGGTACACCTGTCTGCCAAGGCGGCTAGACAATTCCTGTTGCAAACGCATGCTTTCATTTTTTTTTTTTTTGTGTGTGTGTGTGTTTGTCAAACACCCAAACAAACCACCTGTCGTTTATATTGAAACTATGCTGAGCATACCTTATTTAGAGATTCTGTGTAAAATACAAAGAAGAATCTGCAATGTTGTCG